CGGGGGCCGGCACACATTCGCGGCCAGAGCGTTGACAGCGGAGACATTTCGAGCCGGATTTATCACCTATTTCTGTTAGTGCGGAAGTGAAAAGATATTTTACAATCCATCGACGTACATTTCAGATGGCGCAGACGACATGTGAGGCTGAAAAGGCGGATTAGTCGAGTGTGTCAAATATATGGAAACGAATCCAAAAAAATAAAATAGAACTAACCATCCCCTCATTACGCAGTCAAAAGTACAATCGGAAACAAGGAAACCTTCCAGAAAGCATATTCAGAATGCCCGAGGATATGTAGATAGGTAAATAAGCCAAGTTACTCAAGTCCGACTATTAAACTCATCCATGTCGATGACCAAACGCCCATACAGAGTCGGAGATGGGGTGGGTACAGAAATAAATTGGCAGATCACTAACGGATTGCGTATCTTTGTTGGGGTATATATCCAGCGGGTACTCCGTACTCCGTACGTGGGTTTAGTTGGAGATTAGTTCGAGAAGAAGAAGAGCTAACAGTGGTTGAAATGTAGAATAGCGGGTTTCAAATGTACTGGAAATTAGCTCAAAATCTCATAAGGATAACCCGAATTGGAAAACGTTCAGTACCCTAGCTCAACACAGGTCCAAAAAAATCTCCAATTTCCACTACACCAGAGTCTAGGCAGACCTCTGCCGGTTCTGGTTGGATGAACGGCTCCCCCACATATCCCACTAAAAGGTTTGATCGAAAGGTTCTGATCGGTTACCTAACCAGGAAGATCCTGGGACATGTCACTCCTATGGGAGTCCCGGCTTGTATCGGGTTCTCGGCATGGGAACTTCGCCGATGTGTGCCAAGTTTAGTTTCTTGTATCATGGCCGAGACCCCCTTTTTCCTTTTTTGCCATAGTCTGCACTTATCTCTGCGACGTAAAAAGGGGTCTACATGTTTTAAGGAGATTCCTAGTTCACTCCCTGGTTCAGATGAGGATTGTCGGCCAATAGAACGAAATTGGGAACGGGATGGTCTCCATCCACACCGGGAGGATTGGCATATATTGGTATATATCCGGTTTGTCAGCTCAACTTAAAAAAAGACGTGAAAAGGCGTTCAACAAGCTTCGGAACGAAATTAGGGACGGAATTAGCGTTGAAGTTATTCGAATTTTGGGCTTTTCATTTGCCGATTGGTCTCACCGGGCTTGGGTCAGGCACCCGTGAGAAGAAAAAAAAAAGGTTGCTCGGTCCCCCAGTGAGCCACATGGTCACATTGATCTTTCACAGGGGACTTTTGTTTATAATTTACCCCGTGACCATTGTACTGGCAATATACCTAGGTACACCCGGATTGGCTTGATAATCTGGCCTTGTGGGTCAGCTTTTGCCGATGAAAATGAGATTTGGCTTTTTGTTTAATTTTAAAATCCAAACCCGTGGAAAAACTGAAAGAAAGTACTCCAGACTAGTCGAACCCTGTCGATCTTGGTACTTCCCCGAAGTTGTACTCCGTAGGATGCCGAAGAGGCGAGACAAGTCCCGATGTTATAAAGTTAAAAACCCGGCAGGTCCAAACGCTAAACAATGGCGATTTGCATCTGGATATGTGGGGGGTGAGGTACTTTTCGTTATCAGCTGCCTCTTTAGGCCAAATGCTCCGGGGGAACGAAAAACCGAGTGGATTATTCATCATTTAATCAGCAACGTTTCACTCCATGGTTGCAGCGAAGAAGGAGAAAAGAAGAAAAGAACCTTGGAAGAATAAATTGTGGGGAAATGGGAGAAGAGAGAAGAAGAGCTAGTGAGAGAGGAGAGAAACGGAGAGGGAGGAAGAGGTTGTGATATGGATGCCTGACGATGCCTGAAATTAAGACATATGGCGGCCTTGAACATGAGGCACCCATGCATATCGTGAAGCTCTTCCAACTTCCCAGTTCCTTATCTTGGGGGATCCTTGCGGACCTCGTAGCTCCTGGAGAGCTTAGAACTACACAGCTCTACTTATTACTATCGTGAAACCCAATTTCCAATATCCAAATTATAATGCTATAATCATGTCCTTAAACCGCATCTCCTTCCTTGAAGGATGGGAGCGCAACCCCGCAGCCTTTCTCAGTCACCCCGAATCGGAGGATTCGGATCCAGACTCTTACCAAGATCTGCCCGAGGGGTCCATGTCGTCGTCATTTCCCTCCACATACAGCAGACTGAATTTCAACCCGTATGCGGGGCCAGGCTGGAACGAAAGCCCAGAGGATCCACATGACAATCAATCATCGTTTTTCGGCCCCTCGTTTCTAGGTCTCTCACCGACGACCACCCGTGAAGGACGTGCGGGTTCGTGTTCAGAACAGGGACTGGGATCCGCGGAGCGGACTGTGCACGAGGATCCAGGGACACCCGTTGCTCGGACGCCTTGGGCGGATACTACTGGCGCTTATGAAGTAAGCGCTGCTAGGAGGATTGGTAGGTTGATGGAACCCAAATTATACTTCCTTTTTTTTATATACAGGAATATGCTAACTTGTAAAAGCCCAGGTTTGCACAGCCGTTATATACTGCTTTCTAGCTGCTGGAGTCGTTTTCGGATTTGCAGCTCTCAAACCCGTCCTTATTCGAGAGAAAGTATATCGCAACCTCTGCTCCCAGGCGGAGCTTGAGGAAGATGTCGATGTGTGCTATGGGCAAGAGATTCGGTATGCTTTTTTTTTTACCCTGGTTCAAGCACTCTCATACTTGCATACTTACACGTAACAGGCTGAACTTGATGTTCACTATCGCCGCTGTAGTAACCAATGTCTCAGCCCTACCCGTAGGAACCATCCTAGACGCCTATGGACCGCGAGTCAGTGGAGTCATTGGCAGTATCTGTCTCGCCATAGGCGCAGCACTCTTTGGGGCGGCTAGCAAGCTTCCATTCGATGGATACATCCCGGGTTACCTATTCCTTGCATTGGGTGGACCATTTGTATTCATTCCATCCTTCCATCTATCAAATACCTTCCCCACACGATCCGGCCTGATTCTATCAATGCTGACAGGTGCCTTCGATGCCTCAAGTGCTTTATTCCTGCTTTTCAGGCTGTTAAGTGAACATACACATGGTCTGGTATCAATCAACAATTTCTTCGCGGTGTACCTCATCGTACCGGTATTCATCATCGCAGCACAGATATTCATAATGCCACAAACATCATACAAAACCGCCGGCGAGCTCGTGCAACAAGCCGAAGAGCAGGTCTCAGACGAGATGCACGATCGCATAGACGACACCGCCAATGACCGCAGCGAGAGCGAGCGCCAGCGCATGAACAGACGACTCCGTCGTCAAAGTATCGTCAGCCACATCCAAGATCTACTAGAAGATGGCACATCATCCGTGATGTCCGGCAACACGATCAACAACGCCGTCTTCCACACCAGCATCGACACCTCGCTCGATATGAATACTCCAACCAGGGGAACCAATGGTACTACAACACCGCACTCCCACACGCACCAACAACAACAACCAACCACTCCCAACCCCACACCAGGTGGAATCTGGGGCGTTCTCCACGGCCACAGCGCACTGAACCAACTCCGCACGCCATGGTTCGCTCTAATAACAGCCTTCACTGTTCTAATGATGCTCCGAATAAACTACTTCGTCGCAACACTTCGATCACAATACACCTACCTACTCTCCGCAGACGAAGCCGCACAAATAAACACAATATTCGACATCCTCCTACCCGTCGGCGGACTGATCTCGGTGCCATTCATCGGTACATTCCTAGACATATTCCAGACACGAACTGTACTATTTATCCTGGTGGTGTTAGCAACTACCATTGGCGTACTGGGTTGTATACCACATCCGACCGCGGCATATGGGAATATCATTCTCTTCGTGTTGTACCGACCGTTCTATTACACGGCTGTTTCAGACTACGCGGCTAAGGTGTTTGGATTTGCGACGTTTGGGAAGGTGTACGGGCTTATTATTTGTCTTGCTGGTGTTGGGAATTTTGCACAGGCGGGACTTGATGCGCTTACCTTAAGGGTTTGGAAGGGGGATCCTGTTCCTGTTAATTTTGGGCTTACGATTCTAGTTGCTGTGGTTGGAGGTGGGCTTGTTGGGTTTGTTGCTTATCAGACGAGTGTTTTGGAAGGTAAGAGGAGGGATGGCGTTGATCAGGGCCAGGCTGTTAGAGAGAGGGAGCCGTTGTTGGGGAATGAAGAAGCTCGGAGAGGGTATGGGGCTTAGGGGTATGGGGTTGGGGTTTATATGATACGGCGAGTACATATTTTTAGTGGTTGTGATTTGCTTGCATTGAGTATATAATGGTGAACGGAACATTAATACTAGTGTGATTGAATATGAGAATGGTACATTGTATGCGTATCCATCCCTACAGCTACGACCATGAGGCAGACATAGCAAGGGAGGATGGAATAGCCCAACTTGCAAACGTTGTGAGAAGATTGGAACGTTGTGTATTTTATCTCTAATGGCTTCAATCCAAACAGAGATGTACTATGTACGGATGTATCCCAAACATCCAAAGGCAACAAGACATGAGAAAGCCATATCCTGTGCTAGGGGGATATTATAATCCAAATGCAGACCCAAAAGTAGATGCATTATATCCAGTGTAATCCAAAGAAAAAAAAAAAAAACCCTGCCCAGGTGTGTCTGGGGTCAGGTGATGGGTGTTCGGGTTTCACAGCACGGCGAGTTAAGGCATGTATATGCAAAACTTTTATATATCCGGCGTGGTCCAAAGCACCGGCGAGTATATCTATGTATGCCCCCATGTCCAAGTTCCAGAATGTGGCTGGTGACTGAGATGGTATATGTCCCAGGAAAAGAAAACCGAGGATGATAACGATAGTGAGGATGAGAAGGGAAGGATGGTGGTAGAGGGGAGGTAAGGAAGCTGGACTGTGTCATTACAGCTGAGGGTAGATCCAGAGAGGAAGCGGGTGATGCGCGCTTCTGGGGGTTCGGAGAGTTTCCCAATGTTGGAATTGGGGCTCATTGGATGGCGTAGCTATACCTGCCTGCGTTCTCTTGCCAGAGAGCCTCCCCAGCAGCATCGCAGGCAGCATCGTACCATAACATAGAACCAAGGACTGATTTGACATTGGCCCATGAATTCAGACCAGTCTTGCGGGCAGTATCTCCTAGAGCAGATGCGAACCAGGCGCGTTCAGGGGTATCGTTCGCTGCGATACCGCCAAGGGTCAAGATCCAAATTAGAGGGCAACGCGTGGATGATGAAGTCCACAAGCCTGTGGAGGAGGGTTGGAGGAGAACGGATTGGATACGGCGGGCTAGCGTATTCAGGGGTGTGTTCTGTGCGGGGATTGGGAAGAGGACGCCAACCCCGAAGATTAGCGCCGCTAGACGACAGGCTTCATAGGTGGCGGCGTGTGTTGGATGGGAGAAGAAGGTGTGGAGCTCTGAGGCTGGAGCGAGACAGAGGAGAGTATGTTGGGTCAGATTGCGCTGGTCGACGAGCAAGGAGACATCATGCGTGACATTCGGGCTCGCTTTGATGATGCCAATATAAGTGTGCACCGCCTGGAAAGCTTCTGCCATTTGGCGGGTAGCACCGATTGCCTGCAAACGGGCGAATCCCTGGTCAACGTCTGATGGGCCGAAGCCGAGCAGTTCTTGGATGGATAAGCCTAATCGGTAATCGGCAAGGGGCCAGAAATCAAAGCACGGGTGGACACAGAGGACGCTGCAACTCATGATATCCGAGCTGTGGGTGGTCAGTATGGACAGTCAATACAAAAAAAAAAAAAAACAAACAAACAAACAAAAAGATCCGAGACATACAAGGAAATTGTCGCGGCCAGACCATCTGTGTGAATGTTTGCCAAACCCCCGCGCAGTTTGACCATCTGCAATAATCCTTTGATGTGAATCATATTGGGCGGCAGACATCCATAGACATCGATCCATTGTAGTCGTGGGAAAGGCGGATTAAATGGTGTTCTGCGATGCTGGTGCACCGATTCCTCATCGGCCTGATGATGAGCCATGCAAATGACACTGAGGAGAACAGCATCACTGGCCGCGCGGTCGGGATCGTGAACAGCCTCGTTGATCAGCTTGATGGATTCTATTTCACATAGCACCAGCGCACGACGTTCCTTCGGCCCAAATACCGTGCCGGGTACCCAGTTATTCTGCCATTGTACACGGAGGTGACACAGCGAACCAAACATGAATGCCGTAAACAAAGCCGGGTCCGCCATGGACAGATCGAACCACTTATTCGCCGTAGCTCTGACGTTCCGTGGACGCGGAGCAAGTCCCGGCCACACCACACCTGTGAGATAGCGCTCCGATAAATTAATTATCTCTGGCTCGAAGCTCGCCGGAGCGGGGTATGTGGCGAACGGGTCAAGGACTCCAGAGACATTGCGTTCAAGCCGCTCAGGAGAAGAGCGATCATTGAACCGGATGACCGCGAGGGCCTGGGAGAACTCGGACATGGTACTCGCATCGTCGCTGCTACTGCTATCACTGCTATCACTGGCCTGCGACGGCGGGAACGGCGAGTCTCGGTATGCAGCCTGGCTGGAGCGGGAGTCGGTCGCAAAGACGAAGCTTTGACCGGGATTGTTCCCACGATGAGCGCCTGAGGGACACGAGACGATGCTGAATGAGGAGAGACTGGCACGGGTGCGGTCAATGGTGGGTAAGGGGGAACAGCGCTGCGGACAGGTTGGGCGCGTAGATTGGATGATTCGCCGGTGGATCGGTCCTTTGTTTGATCTGAAATCCAGCGTCCAACGTGCGCACGCACCTGACGCTGGGCTTTCAATCGTTCGGTCTCGGAGGCAGGTCTGGCATTGACGAAATGGATACTGTCCTTCTTGGAGGCAGACTGTCTCTTTCTTGATGCCATCTCAGATCATATCACCGGCTCGGTAAGCGGTGAGAGATGTATGTGATAGCTAGAACCTGCATGATCTTTTCAGAAGAGAGGTTTATAATCGAGTTTTAAACAAGATATTGGGAATGGATATTGATATTGGCAAGCCCTGATATGGATAATCCCATTTCTGACGTTGATATTCTTCTTCTTCTTTTTTTTTTTTTGACAGCTCTGAAGGTGTTGCAGTGGGGAAAAAAAGGGTAAAGAAGGAAGAAGCTCGGAACCCCCCGTGACCGCAGATCATTCGTACTTTGATACTCCGTTTTAATTCTTCTCTATTATTTCTACTATTTCTACTATCATTACTATTATTTTGTGTATTTATTCCATTAATTGGCTTTTATTTCATTCAAATCCTCCACGTATCACTATTACGTGCATTTCTGGCCTAGTGGAGTCTGCAGTGGACTAGTAGTGAGTGCGATGCACGTACAATTGCACCGACTATTCGGAAGATGAGATCAAGGAGTAGAATAGACTCAACTCATCGAAACTTTCAACCCTTCTGGCCTTCTTAAGGTTCCAGGAAAAGAGCTTTGTATGGCCGTTGAATACGATAGCATAAATATGTGTAGTAAGAGTATCAACCTCATAGGGAGGGGGGTTTGCTCCAATATTCTTGCATGGGCTAGACCGAGTAATATCCCCTCATTCCCCGGGAAATCCCAGTATCGTGGACACATAATGGCTAGTCCCAGAGGAAATAATCCAGAACGCCAGACTATTACACACATCTTGTATTACAAGACTGTCAGTCCCCGTTAAAATTTTATCACCGGACATGAAACCGCCTGAGCTTGGCAGATGAAGCCTGACAATACCATTCCACTATTATATGTCAACGGCCTTTAACCTTTCCTGATGGGGCCTCTGCGAAAATAAGAAAAAAAAGTGGTTCTGATAGGTGGAGCCCCGTCGATCGCGAGGGGCAAATTCAGTCGATGAAATTGATATACTCCGTATTTGCTCCGTAGTTAGTAGTTTAGAGGCATACTATTAGAGACATACTATATTTGTATTGTTATAATTAGCCTCTTTATGCAACTAATCTTCAGTCTTTGAACCCCTCCCTCATTTCCTTTCAGAGCTAGGTTCTCTCTCTAATGCAAGCTAACCAGAACATGAGACAATACGGAGTATGCGCATCTCGCCTGTGTCCACGGAGTAGGCAACGACCTAATTATCTACACGGACCATAAGTTAGCCCCGTCCCCCGAGAACCTCACCCTGACATGATGGATACATGAAATGTACAGGGGGGTTAGGGTTAGCGCTGACAGGTCTGCATGGACCAAGACAAAGAGTGACAGGTTCACTGGGTATTGACCGATCGCGAGATTTTTTTTTTAATTGACCATAACATTTCTTAATATTTATATGTATGGAGTAGTTAGTACGTAATAAAGAGTATATTAGGTCGATGTTAAGAATGGGAAATAAATCGACTCAGTCGAGTCCAGACAAAGTGGTTTCTGCGGATAGACAAGAAACTCGTAAAACCTGCAGGTCGGCAGAACCCCGAGAGTAATCCCCCCACATGCGGATCACTCCCTAGGTTAGTTATAGCCCATATCATAGGTTACACTATTACACTACATTTAGCCCATGACAGGAGGAGTTAGAGGAGGAAAACAAAAAAAAAAAAAAAAACGGGTTTTGAATCAGAGAGAACCTGAATTTCATTGTCTCAATCTTGACTTAGGAATCCAATCAATCCTATCAGCATATGCAACTATACCAAATAAGATCTAGCTACATATGTCTGCACGCATATACTAACGGGTAATGGAGGGGTACCAAATAATCCGGAAGAACTCCCTGTCGAATCAACGCAATCCGGGCTAGTCCGGCTTAATCAATTTCCAAGAGGGTATACCGACAGCTCTCACCGGATTGCGGATCGTTATACTGCTCAAGTGCCTTCTCCACAACGGCCATGTAGCCAAGTACGTGCTCCTCCTGCCATCGGCGACCGACGATCTGGACGGCGGTTGGGAGACCAGCCATCTTAGCCGAGTCATAGTGTTTCCACGCACCGCGAGCAATGCCATGGTCACAGCCTAGACGCTTGAGGGCGGTTTTATAAGGTGCAGCGAGAGCATCGCGGATGGGATCTACGTGACCGACGGGGAGAACCCCAGCGGAGTAATCGAGCAAGTTCCACAGGAAGGTGTAACCGCACGAGGAGACGGCATCGTGCATGGCCTTGTGCGGGAGAGCCGGGGTAGCGTTGACGGGGCACAGGATGAAATCGAATTGCTGGGGTTCGGCGTCCCACCACTTATGCCAGACAGCACGGAAGGCTTCGCGCTGAGCGGTTAGGGTCCACAGCTGGGCGGACGACTTGGGACCGAAGTCACGGATGAGAGTGGCGGAGACCTTGTCGCGGCGGATATAGCGCACGTAGAGGTAGTAGAGGTAGCGGAGGGGGCGGGGGAGGTGGGCGATGCGGGAGAGTTGGATGGCGCCTGGGTCGGAGGGTTCAAAGCTCTTGAGGTTGGCGTTGAAGTGGTGGCAGCCATCTGAGTTGAGGAGTTGTGAGGCGAGGTTTAGGCCGGTGAAGGGGTCTGCGTTGGGTGGGGTGGTGATTTCTGAGACGGTGTGGCCGGCCTCAGTGAGGGCGGCTACTGTTTTTGCGATGGCGCGCTCGATGGCTGGAGTTGGGGGGACGACACCTAGGGATTTTGTAAGTAACTGACGTTCATTGTCAAGATGAAGTGATTAACACATACCATCGGAGGTCATCAGACCAACGCGAAGAGGCTTGTTTTGAGCTTCGGACTCCACCTCACTGCGCCAGGCAATGGGGTGCACTGTGTGCTCATACTTCCAGGGCTCCATGCGGATAATTGCACGAGTGAAATATGTCAGATCATTCAAGGTGCGGGCCATAGGGCTAAATACACTAGGAACACCTTCCTGTCCGGGCATGCTGGTGTTCACGCCGCCCTTGGGCCAGCGGCCAGTGCTGCATCGGAGTGAATAGATACCACTCCAGGCGGCGGGCACGCGCACCGAGCCGGCAACATCAGATCCAATACCAATACGGCCACCCTGCGCTAGCAATGCTGCCTCTCCACCAGTTGAGCCACCGGGCGAGTATGCTGGGACATGCGGGTTGCGGCATTGACCCCAGAGGCCGTTATCGGACTCAAAGGAGAGCAGTGTGATTGGCAGCGCAGTCTTAGCATATGGAACAGCACCTGTGAAAATCAGTACGCAGCCCAGCTATTGAAAAATTGTCTGCGGGATCACGGTCTTACCAGCGTCTTTCAAGAGCTTCACCATCGGACCATCTTCCAAGATAGGATTTCCAGCCAGAGCAGCATACCCAACACTAGCATCGAATCCCTTGACATGAATAGAATCCTTCAAAGAGACCGGAATGCCAGCCAGTGGACCCTTCAGGTTGATTTCTGACTCCAGCCACGACTCAGCCTCGGGTAGCATCAGCTCGGTAATGCAATTCGTCCGCTCCTGAGCCCTCTTAGCTACCTTTCCATAGGTGCGGAGGACATCGAGTGGGGAGACAGCCGAATCTTGCACATCGTGAACAAGCTCCTCAATAGGCTGGTCAATGATCTTTCGGTCCTGGTCGGCGATGCGAAGGTGATAGGGATGCGGAAGACCTGTAAAGCGGAGTTCTCGTTCGGCTTGTTTTTGGTTGCTGTAGATATTAGCTCTGGATCATGTGTACACGAGGGAAATAAAGACAAGCTTACCGTATGCGCCGATAGGCAAAGTAGTCGAATGGAGGAAGCATAATGGCGGTGTGTGTACAGGAAGACAAGGGGAAGGGAAGTCGGGGTTCTTATACGATGCGGGGAATTGGAGAAGTGGGGAATGCGATAGGACCCGGCTAGACGGGTAGCACCGAGGTTAGCCGTGGATACACGGCCTTTTCTTTATTATGGCTATATTTGTGTATATAAGCTATGGTAGATATACTTTGTATTTGATCTGGTGTCTGCTTTTGTGTTCGAAATAATCAAAACGTTGAACAAAATCACTAAATGCCGACAAGTACAACACTGGCGGGGATTTGTCCGCAGGAGAGATAAGAGGCCATACCCCCAGACACGCTATGCCTGTTACGGCAAGTGTATGCGCTAGACAGAGCAGGTGAAGTATATCATAGGTCCACGGGCACATCGATAGATAAACGAGGTACGTAGTAGATGAGATAGAGATGTATGATTTTGAATTATCTATTGTATGCAGTTCTATGTAAAAGCTATCTAAGTAAAATGCCAAACGCCGTGTGCAGGCGCGGCGGGTATATCTCCAATGCCATGCAAACTCCAAATAAACGCAAAAATTAGAAATTAAAAACGCCGCCCGTGGAAAAAGCCCGGTTATCAAGGGTCATCCGGACGAGGTTGGAGCCAGTTGTTCTTTGAAAGCCACCATAGAACCACGCCGACAACGATAAGGAGCACAATGCCGAAGAAAATGACAAAGCCCCAGATGATTGATCGTTTGCTCTTTCGTCGTTCGCGGTCAAGCCATGATGCCCTGTAAGGGTGAGTTGAGGTTCATTAAGGATATAGTAGACGAGGGTATCTTACTCATCTTGTTTTGTTTGGGCTCCCTGGACGACTGCTTTGGACTCTTCATCCATGTGGACCGCAGTTGAGAACCGTTTCCAGAAATATGGGTCCCGAACAAGAGCCATGATGAAATTATGTGTTATCAATCCGAGATGGACGCGTTGGTTCCGATGTTGTTGTGTTATGATCGATAGGATGATTCAAGGGATAGTCGCGTGACCGGCTGAGAAGAGAGCAATCGCCGATGTATAAGGATGCAATAGTAAAAACAAGTGGTCTAATAGTAGTCGAGATGTCCAATCGATGAGGAAGTCGGTTTGTTCGGTTGATGTAGCGAGGTGAATAATGGACAGCAATTCACCAGCTGACAGGAGAAACACGTCAACTGTGAGAAAACGGGCTAGGGGTAACAGCTGCACTTATTCTCCTGCTAGATGGGCCTTAGGGATCAAATCCCGCGTGTGGAATTCTACCCGTTGACACATGTACATACTCCCCGAGGACTAAAATACCAAATCAAATCATGATCGGCGGCATGTCCAGTTCTAATTTGTGTGCAAAGCACCCGAAGCTAGGCCATCAACAAGAAGCCAAGGCAGGCAAGTACTGCGAGGTAGGAATGGAGTGCTCGTATTGTTTATTGTTGTGGCTGAATGTCAGTTCAAGGGAAGGATGGCATGTCGATCGCGGAATGTTCGAAACTGAAATGCAAGATTCGTCAGTGATGAAATTGTTCATCGATGGCATTCAAGCAATGGTATTGGTAGATAGGGGGTTTAGGAATGTGGGCCTGAATTTGGTACGGCATTAACTCGGGGTCTGGATCGAAGAGGTTGTTGTGGTAAAGGCCGAAGAAGAGATTATTGTGTCTGATATGACTTCCCGAAGCTGGTCCGCGCGGGTAGCTGATCAAATAAACATTGCGCCGCATGGCAGCTAGACTACATTGCCTGAACAAAATTATATTATAAAGTCGCTGGAATATCTCATGTTGCATAAATCTCGACTGGAACAGAAACCGATATGGATGATCTCCTTCGAGTCTGTCCATGTACTCCATAGAACAAAGTTGCCTTCAGGGCATAGACCCGAGACACTAAACACGAATGGAAGGTTGGTGGATAGCGTCGATGGGTAGGCAGTGAAACGCAAGCCTCGACTGATCCAGTGAAGATCGTGCGGTCCCCTTCTTCCTGAGCATTCCAGTCCAATTTTATTTCGTTGGTCAGTGTCACTGCCACATAATCAGACCAGAATTCTCGCCGTGAACCCCAGGTAGAAATGTCACTCAGATCTGGATAATCTTGCCATGTCTCAACCCCAAAGAAAGTCATTGCCCGCAACTGAAATTCGGCAGCAAGAAGACTTGGTGGCAACTGACCCGAATGAGAAGGGTCAAACCGAAGATCAATCTTCACAGAAGTTGACGCATTTGTATTCTTTGGTTGGAAACTTTCCAACTGGATGGCTGGTGGTTGAGCAGAGCAGGCTGCGAGTTTGCCACGTGAATGTCGCAGCAACCCCGTGGATAATGACTTTTCTGTTCGCTGTCGATAATAGTTATTCTTTTTTGGGACAAGAATTGGGGGATGCTCAGTTCGTGTTGGAAGGATTTGCACGGGATGTGTTGCTTCTTGGATTTTCTTTGGCCTCCTTGCCTTGCTATCTCGCTGCTGCAGCGCAAAGTTGATACTGTAGACTACTTCTGCCATTTTAGGTGACATGTCGTGCATTTTGTCGTACTGTGTGCCACGGTAGCTGAGACTTGCAGGTAGCTGCAGATGTTCTTGTTGGATTTGGTGATTGGCGCATTGGTGTTGACACGCATGGATGGGAAGTTCCTCGGGAACGATGAACTTGAAGGGCATTCGATAACTCCTGCCAGGTCTGAGCGTGTTTGTATCCCAGCAGTAATCGTGAATCGGCAACTCCATGCTTAGGAAGGGTTTCAGGAGCCGATTGGGGGGCAGAGCAATATGTGTATTCATGTTCTCCAGTTCGATTCGTGTCCTGCCTATTTATTGTATTAATATCACGAAAGTAGTGCTACCTCTACTACTCGCGTACCTTTAAGAGTGATGTTTATGTCTTCAATGTTGGTTTCTTGGTGAGGTGTAAAAATGATCTCGCCGTCTATTATGTCGTGGGTTTTGAAAATTGGCGAGTCAGACGAGCTATTAACCACGAATTCCACATTTGAGAACTTCATCATGCAAGGACGTATGCTTATTTAATCTAATCCCTACGACATGAATTACTTAAATACTAATTGTGTTCGACTGTAGTTCGGAGGAGGGGACGGCAAAATATCATTTGCCCGATCGCAAAATGCTTCCATGGTTCCTATGCCAGAAACATATCCACCGAGTCGGCAAATTCACATCTCCCAAAAGAAAAGGACTTGAGCCGAAATTTGATAGGAACCGATCAAATAAACCGGGTGCTCGGCTTGTCTTGATCATTTCAGCAGTTATTATTAGTGAGATCTAATATATATATATATATAGATAGATAGATAGATATATTTAATGATAATTCCACCATCGTTTGCCAATATGTGTACCTACAACGTTTCTTTATATTGCATTTCTACAGTCTATAAATATAAATTTAACCCCCAAGGTATAAAGATAAATTGAAAGCTAATATCCAACAGTCGAATATGAACATATAATAGCGACCTCCTAAAAGCATACGTCAAAATAACTTAGTCAAAATATTGGTGTGGTGTTGGGCTTGCATATACGATCCGTGCACATCACGTAGCGAGGGAAATTACTCTTACCAATGAGGGGCAGCATGTACCCTATCGCATTTCCATCCCTGATGCTTATTACATTGGCCCCATGCAGGCCTGCAGTTCACTGTCGTTTAAGGAAGCCCGATATCATTCGAAGGGGACCGAGCTAAATTGATATAAGTTGTGTTACCCAAAACACTAGACCCTCTGCTGGGATGAAGAATCGTTATCTGAGATGCAGAAACAGGTAAATTTCTTTCCTTTTCTGGGTGCAGTGACACGTAGATCATTCAACCATCATTACGTCAATTCCTCGAAGAAATGCACCAGACTCCGTCCGGGTGGCATGTGACTAATGGACGAAGCAGGAGGCCAAAGGGAGCCATTGATATCCCTACCAATGTAAAAAAAAAACCTGATAAAAGGATGCTGATGATGTTCCAACTGCTTAGATACAGGTTAATCTATACCTATGATTGGTGCATTGGTGCATCTATATAATGTATAGAGTATCATGTGTGGTGTTTTTCATCCCGTTCTATTTGCCAAGGAAACCAAAAGAAAAAGAAAAGAGCCACTTAAAGCAGGAAAGGAACCCTTTCCCTCCTCTCCATACCTGGGTACCTGTATGTATCGAGATCCAATCAATCACACGCGCTTCCGATCCACCAAGGGGGGCACAGAATAGACAATAAGGTTTATGACAGATGTCAGTGGGATGGAAGCATCTAGAATCGAACTAGGATGAATAATGGGGTCAGGGCCTGGTAACCTTGGAAATACCCTACTATGGTTCCCGCTTGAGCGTACAGTCTCACACGAATCGAACCATCATGTCAGAGTAAGTCTAATGCAGTATGGTTGGAAGAGCCTGTCCTCCCCCAATGTCGATCTATCCACCCAAGAGACTAGAACGTGCATAATTCCGGGCTTCCCGTGCCATAAAAGCTAGGTAAGAGGCAATCATGCGACCTGTTAGTTCATACCCGCCGCTACCGTTCAGCAGCCTCGATCTATGGGCAATCAAATGTCAAAGTTTCGGATATATTATCAGTAATCAATGTTATTTGTAAATGACGACCACCACCCACCACTCCATGATGTCTGTGGCAACTGAAAGAAGTGCCCTGCACCTAGCCAGAAGCGCAAAGAAGCAATCCCCCAAATTGAGTTCAAGTTCTAAGTATATATACCGATTAGTTCTCTTTGAACAATAGGAAAAGAGTCAAAGGAAGCGATTAAGACTACATACATTGAGTATTTGAAGATTAAGATCAATATTTCATCATGGATCATGTGGCACAAAGTTTCTCGAGTGATATAGAATACTCCTCTGAATCATTTATCGCGACTCTATTACATGGAAAACCAGAGCATAAACACTTGGATGTTTTAACCGACCTTTTGACGAAAAGTTCCGAAATCGATGAGCGTGTCGCGTCATCCATCAGTGCCGCGTGGGACTGGATATGCCAGAATGATCTTTGGTCTACGAGGTATGAGAGCCTCGGCGACTACCGGAAGGCTATCGGATATACAGAAACGGTAAAACCGATTGTGAAGCGACATAAGAAATCGGAGCTAGCGAAACGATCAAGTATCCAAACAATATTTCGGTACTGGAAAATTCCCTTCGACAAGGCTCTTCCAATTCATACTCGCCCCTTAACTTGGAGCAAACATTTGCTTTCATTGACAGCCTGTTTAAGCAAGCACTTGAATCATTTAGACTCCTTATCACTCCTTGAAGAGAGCATGAAAAACAGACCAGAACGTGGACGCAATCGGAATCGACTCATGGCAAGTGATGTCCAACGGGCATTGGAAACTTTAGGGATACCCCAGACACGCTTGGCAGCACGGGGATGTAAGTCATGATATTATCCAGTTGAACCTCCAAGAATGCGGCTTACAGTGTTTCAAGCAAGAAAATCCCAAACCTCCTCGAGTTCAGCTCAGAACAAAGGCACCGATAGTTGCGCTGAGGTTGACACTCCGCCTTCCACCGTTGAGTCAGAAACGCGATTCCTCCCAAACATACAATCGCAAAACCCGTTATCATTGGCAGCCTCGCCTACACAAGAGCTACCAACCAATAAAGACCCAAATGAGTGGCAGTGCTGCGGATGTATTCCTATATGCTTGCCACTGATCGCCCTGATCACTACCCCTCAAGCGAGGTTCGATACAAAGCTTCTGACAGCATTGGTGGACTGGGCATACACAATATCATGGGGTAGCTTTTGCTCTGAGCACCTGAGGCGTCTAGCCCACTTTATTCCCACAGAGGATCCATGTGACAGCACTAGAGCAGAGGTAATTCACAAATTGGAGGCATTCTCTTCTCGTAGATGTTACAGTTACATAGGTACGGTCAATTCCCCCTTCATGGCTCATACGTGAGATGCTCAGTCGCTGTCGTATATCTGCTAACTTGCCTTTCACAATAGAAGGCCATACCTGTACCCCTACTGCCAACCTTTGTTCAAATACGGAGCTGCTATATCGTTATACTGGGTCTGCCGATGCGTGGTGGCGTTGGCAAAGGGATGGATTTCTCTATATCCCTGGGTTCTTTTCCTACATGGAAGAGTTTGGTGTGTTCAGGCGTGTTCGGAAGTACCTTGAAAAAAGCGGTACTAAAGAAGATACAAATTCGACATTCAATCGAAATTTCGTCCAGCAATGCTACAGGATGATATCTCAAATGGTACAACGGGATCCGGCTTATTATGCTATTCTAGTCGCATGCAGACCAGACCAAAATCGGAAACTAATTCATCGCCCACGGCAATACCAAGTAACCACTGTTTCCCAATGCGACGATGTAGGGTTCGGTGTCCCAATCGCCCGTACTAAATTACTGGCCCAAGGAGAAGGCACGAGCGACATCCATAGTACTATCATATTCCCGACATGTGAGACTGCACAAAAGATCCGACTAGTCCCAGTGTTTCATCAGGAATTCAACTCATGGCCACAGAGCCCGTTAGAACCAAAGTATGGAGATGGATGCAAAGTATTTGGTGAAGCCCATGAGATCTTGGTACAGCCAGGTGATTTGGTTATGTGCCTCCCGCAAATTCTCCTATGGCCAACGACCTTTTCCTCCTCAAACTTTCTCAGCCTGTCACAGATTGGATTGGACAACAGATTCCCCACACTCCCCGATCAACCGAGTGAGAGGTGCGATACGGGTAGTTCCGACAAGGTCTGGGAGCAGCCAGAACCGCAGGTTCATGATACTAAAAGAATAACGCACGAATATCATACCGCGAAATCAGGCCTTATTGAGGACAGCTGGTGCAGTGCCTCAAGTGCCATAGGCCAGGCATTGACAGGTCGTCTGGATTGGAGTACAGGCAGAGCAAGAGAAGAAATGAACTGTATTCTTGGTTCTCATGGAGCAACAGCAGTCGAATTTGTCGCGAAGTCACGAGCGCAGTTAGCGAAGCATTTTCACAACCTCTGTGATTCAATTGAGCGAGACGACGACATGAACTCTGGTATGAAAAACCCTTCTCGGTTTCCATCAAGAATACTTACTGACTTGGATTCAAGATTGCAGAATGAGCAGGTGTTGGGAACGAGATATCTCACCGGACCTTTTCCAAGGTCAAAATGAATACCTTGAAACACCAGAGTCTTTCACCGATTCTTTAACGTCAACCTCACCTACGTGGAACAATCCTTCTCTAGATGATCTGGTGGCAGACTTGAACCATAGTTTCTCTCAAGAGCCTATGTCTTTCGATTTACCTTGAGATGAGATGGATGATCAGATACTATGATTTCTTTTATCCAACTTACACGGGGGACTAAATGTGAATTTTTTTTTAGATATCTTTTTGAATGTCTGTTATATGAATATATATAAATCCAAGGGGCGTAAAAAGCACTTTTTTATATATAATAGTTGATACTGATGACTCCTAACCTTAGAACCTTGGAAAACATGCAAGCGAGAGAGGATAACTATATAAATTACTGTAGCAATATCCATGGATTATTTAATGAGAGAGTTATGTCCCTTACGTCCCCGGTGGCAACACTTACTCGTCCATATAAGGGCAAATCCTAGACGGTGATTGGCTCGGCAACATGAAATTTCACCGGTCAACATCGTCCGGCGAAATTCCAATTTTACTCTTTACCCCGTACTGGATCTTCTTGATAGCCCGTCTACTATATTTTAAAATATGACCTCCTCATTAAAGATACCGAGCAGCGATGCAGCCATAAGAAAACAGAAAAAGAAGTCCATCGCGTAAGTCCGGAGAACCCATCCCCGAGTCTAGCCGCTAATGTCACGTCTCAAGGTGCCGGAGATGCCACTCACACAAAATCAAATGCACTGGTGGCCAGCCATGTCTTAAATGTCGGCAGGCTGGTTGTCCTGCCGAATGCCACTATGTCAACCGAGATCGTCAAGTTAAAGTGCATGAGAGGTATGCTCCACTAAGCTAAGCACACGCCGTTGCAAGACTAAATATTCGACCAGTTATCTCGAGGAACTGGCTGCCGAGAACCAGCGCTTGCGTAGTCAATTATCACAATCCCCTGGGCTCTTAACACCGACAGAACACCAAGGGCATGATGAAGGTACTTAAAGTTTCCTTAGTCTTTCCGGTGGCTCCGACTTACGCCATTTTCTAGATCTACCCGAACCAGATGCAGACACACATGTTCGAAATCCAATGCTCGGTGAGCGGGCATGGTTCCTACCATATGACCCTTCATTACCACCGATCCACGTCTGTGAAGCAGCATGCACGGCGTTCGCCACCAGACTCCGAAAGGTTCTTACCAAAAGCGAGACCACTTCTCACATGCCTCGAACGCAGTACACACCGGAAACTGCGTTAATGAAAATATGTAATCCCGCAATTGAATGGCCGAGCCTGCCAAGAGCTCGGCTTTTGCTTCAGATTGTGTTCAGTCAGGTCACACGGGTGTATCATTTGGTTCTTCGAAAGTCGACCATCGACGAGCTCGAGGATGCATATCGCAAGGACAACTTCGACGACCCCGTGCTGAAATGTAAATTCTTTGCTCTCTTCGCGCTTGGAGAAGTATATTCTGCACGATCAACCCCGAGCCTTGAATGCAATGTCCCCGGCGTGGCCTATTACGTCAATGCGATGACGATGATACCCATCTTGCCGGAGCGACCAAGCCTGGCACATATTGAAACTCTTTTACTTTTGGTAAGATATTTATCACTTCTATTGCACATGGTTTATGTACTCACAATTGCAGTCACTATACTCGTTTTTCTTAAACCGACGCCATTCGGCATTTCTGTTGGTTGGCAGCGCTATGCGTCTAGGCTTAACTGTAGGGCTGAATCACAATATCCCAGAAAGCAAGTGCCCAGACCCCGTGCAGCGCGAGCATCGGACCAGACTATGGTGGGCAATATATGTATTTGACCGAATGTACGGCTCGAAGGTCGGCTGGCCGATTCAAATTTCCGACGCAGACATCTACGTTGACATGCCATCAAATGTGCCTGGTGATATCCACAATGACCACACATCCGACACTGAATTCCTCACCGCCAGTATTGGGTTGGCAAAGATCACAGGTCAGGTCATTGACCGTGTGTATAGCCGAAAAAGGTTCCCGGAGTCTTTCCTGCAGCGGGAGCAAAAATTACTCATCTCTCTCAAGGAGTGGTCCTGTGCTCTTCCCTCGCAGATTCGGCTCAATCGTGACGGCCCCGTTCCAATGAACGTCATATCACTACATCTTCAATTCAATCAGGTAAGTGGACAGCCTATGCAGAAATGGATTGTCGGCTAATTGAATGTAGTGTATAATGCTAGCCAGTCGGCCGATCCTTCTGCATGCGTTGATTCAAGCTACATCCCCGGAGTCCACCACGGAAGATAACGCGCAGACGAACATTCGCCAGACTCTCAAAACACTTAGTGATGCGTGTATTCACGCTGCAAGACATACCCACTCGCTGATTGTGGAAGAATGGACCAACGGATCAGTCCCGATCTTCGGATATTTCTATGCTCACTATCTCTTCTCTTCGGCACTGATAATGGTTATATCTAGCCTGGTATACCCGGAGAACAGCAATGACTTCGCTTTGTTCGAGGCAGCTTTCGAAATTCTCCGGGCGATGAGCAGCCACGGGAATCTTGCTGCCACCGAGTTCTACGATAATTTGGAATGTGTGAAGCAGTGCTTGGATAAGATTCAAACGTCAGAGGGCGGCCATTTCCACAGTGATTTATCTCGTGTCGCAGAGAGCTCGACTGACTCTCTTGCTGTTACTGCCCCTAACCAGTTGGGGGTTTTTGGTAATACCGCTGGCTCTGGTATTCCTGAATCGACTGCCCCGGCAAACGATGCAAACGATATGGCCTTTTTAGGAGAGAGCATGGAAGAGTTCCTGGCCCAGCCAGACGTTGATTTCTTGCTCGACCCCTCTCTTACTGATACTGTATACTCATGGCCAAATCTTTCTTTATGGACCGCATGAAATCTATCGTGATATTTGCAACATGCTTTTATGTGAGTATACACAAGGGAAAAAGGAAGGGATTCGGAGGTATCTGTATAAGCCGTTTGATATGGGTTGGTAGTCAAATATCTACATTTAGCAGTATACACTTTGAATCAAAATTTTATACCGACAACATCGGGAATGATTAGCATATTCCAATGGCACTTCACCTCGAAACATGCTAGAATGTGAGAGATGAATTTTGAGTTATTCGTGGCAGCTCGTGGGACTGCAGTTCCTCTGACACCTGGCCATTTGACTTTCTATCGGTCGGGCCTTCAAGGGACTTTTTGTTGACCATCAAGCTAGCCAAAAGTCCTACCGCGGCAACGCAGACATACAAAATCCACATGGAACGAAGACTAGCGACATACGCTATGCGGACTGCATTGCGCTGGTGGACAGGGAGTGATGCGATCAGGCCTACATTGGCTTCCGCACTAGACCCGTCAAAGTGTGCTGCCATCTCATCTCCAAGGACATTTGTAAGTGTTGTGGCATGAGTTTGCATGCTATGTTGGAAGACCACTCCTCCGATGACAACAGAAAGAGAGGTGGCGATATTGCGAGTGAACCCAAAAGTTGCAGTTGCAGTTGCAAAATCGTCCGAGGCAACATGGGATTGCAGCGCGATCAGAGGCGACTGGAAATTCATACCTACGCCAAACCCAGCGACAGCCTCAATCACTGCAATTTTGACTATCGACATATGCTCGTCGAAAAGAGTGAATAAACCGAACCCTAGTGTTAATACGGCCATTCCGGTCCAGATGGGCTCGCAAAAGTGGCCTGTGGGTGAGGGTAAGCTGGAAATTCAGCACGGAACAAAGTGTTTGTCTCTTACCAGTGTGCTTTATGACGAATCCTGTGGCAATCCCTGTAAGACATTGAATGATAGCGATGGGAAGAATCAAAACTCCCGACGTCAGGATCGATGTTCCCTTCACAGCCTGGAAGAAAAGAGGAAGGAAATAGAAGGCAGAGATATAGACCTGAATGATTCAAATCCATTTAATTAATGGCTGACATCGTGAGATAAATGACCGAAAATGACCGAAAAAGCACTCACGAAACCATGGCAAAAGCAAACCAACAATGATGCCATATTTGAGGGATGTTTGAAAAGACGCATTGGCATGATGGGAAACCGGGCGTATTTTACTTCACTGAGCACGAACAATGGGATGGTGATGACTCCGAATACAATGAGACATAAGACCGTTGGTGAATTCCACGGGAAAGTTTCTCCTCCAAAATTCAGGCCCAGGAGAAGGAGCAAAGTGACTCCTAAAATGGTGGCAATTCCAAGCCAGTCAAGTCTTTTCAGGCCAGATCGGAAAGATAGTCGGCTTGCTCCAGCGTCAACATTGAGAAGCCAGATCAGCATGATAAACGCCAATGCACAGCAAGGTAGGTTGATCCACCAATTCCACCTCCATGAGACGAGTTGAGTGAACACTCCGCCTAGGACCGGACCAATACCACTGGCCAGTGCCCAGACCACACTGGTTAGTCCCAGGTACATACTCCTGCGTCTTTGTTACTGTTAGCGAGACCCAGCAGTCATATCGGAGGTAATAGTCTGCGATATACCTTATATCAAACATATCTGTGATGCAGATATTGACAAGGATAACGACGCCTCCCGAACCGCTTCCCTGGATGGCACGACCACTGAGAAACATGGGCATATTGGTTGATACTGCGCAGAGGAGAGAACCGACAAAAAAGACCGCGACCGCAGTCAGCAGCATTGCTTTGCGTCCCCAGATATCGCTAAGTTTCCCCCATACTGGACTGGAAGTTGCATTTGCCAAGAGATAGGCAGATCCGATCCAGGTGTAACCTGAACCCGATCGGAAGTCTGCAACAATAGTGGGAATGGCGGGACTGGTGATTGTCTTGGTGCAGACTTGTCAGCTTAAATGACGTTCGTCTTCGGGGTATCGGGAAAAAAGACGTACAAAATCCAGAGCGGCCGTGAATAATGATAACTAAGAAATTAATGTTAGCCGGCATGGCTGCTTCTACTGAGACTCCACCGGATCCTACAAATAGACAGCTAATCACAACTAGCATCCGCGGCCGGCTGGATTTTGGGGGCCCAGCTGATGCCCTTGTGAGACCACTCTCGCTATTCTCGGCCATTGACACCATCTTGTATTGATCCAGTATATCAGCAATAGTTGGTTAGTAGGAGGGGGAGAAAAGAAAGAGGTCCACAAAGAAATTCGACTGGGCATGGGGAAAGCCCCTATCTAATGGACGTACAATATGCGTATTAAAGTACGGAAGCCGCTTGCAGGGATCTGCTTATCTTGCATCTACGAGTACTTATGTCGGTACATATATAATCTGATAAGAAATATAATCAAATAGGCATCGCTAAGAAAAATCGGCGGCCAGTGGCAGTGTCCCCTTCTGGGAGGATATTATATATAATCCGTCCCAACATTGTAAATGCACCTACCATTCGTCTATCCCTCCTTAGAAGCGTCCACAATTTGAATCTCATCAATTCCCATTATGTCAGCGATCTCTGCCAGTGGTATAACCCAATTACACTTTATTGGCGATCTGATAACGCTGTGTGGGGGCGAAAAGGAGCAGCCGGACATTTTAGCATGTGCCAATGGCACAACCATAGACCGCTATAAATACTTCAGTCAAGAGACTAGATAATCTGATCAACAATTCGGCTCATTTTCTCAAATAGTAAGGCCTTTCACTTACAGTAATTAGCCATACGACTGCGAAATGCTCGGTACCTTGGTTTTCCCTTGGTATCCCTTGAACAGAAAAGCCGTGATCAATATGCAAGATACCCAATATCATCAGCATTGGACTGATAATCAAGTTCATTGCCGTATTGGACGAGAAATAAAACTGGAAATCATCTACAGTGGATAACTGTGTCATTCGCAACAACACCATACTCCGCAGGGTCAATCTCAACAACTTTAAATTCCACTTCTCGCTTGTCACCTCCTACGGTGAATCGATCGCCCCCTCGGATTGGGCGGTATGCGTTGCGGAAGTAAATAGTGAGGTATACATCAAAGAGAGAGCTAGTGAAGCCTTCGAGGTTATTTGCCGTAGGCTGGACGGTAATACGCTTGGCCTGAGTGGCGAAAACTAGAAGTTAGCTCATGATAAAAGGGGAGAGAAGGTAAAATCTTACGTATTGGATATTGAGGTAAGAGCGCATAGTGATAACATCACCTTCCCTGACGTGGAGGTTGTCACGCACCACACGGTTAATGTAAGCATATCCATCCTCTAGGTTATTTCTAGACAAGACGACCAAAACAGTGTCCCTGCCGTTCTTTTCCTTGATTAGGACAGTATCACCACGTGATAATTGAAGGGTCTCCATGGTCTTTTCGGAAACTGTGACAGCTGAGTTTTCATCGTAGACAGCATTAGCCACACTGTTCATGAGCTGTTAGCATTCATCCTCCATCCTCCATCCTCCATCATCAACATAGGGGAAAACTTGCATCAACGAGCTGGGTTTCTTCTCTTTAGGCATAGCAGTAGAATCTAGCCTGGACACAGAATTGAGAGTGGGTTTATCGTTGTGAGAAGAAGACCGAGGCTGCGTCCCTTTCGTTGGGAACTGTATGGTGGAATGCTTGGTTGACAGGTTCTTGGATACTTCAGTGGATTGAGATGGAATATTCCAGGAGTTTGAGGCTTCTGATGAGGCTGAGATTGCTGTGCCAAGATTCAACCCCGCGATAGTTGTTTCTAAGCCAAGATCAAACGAAGCAAGGTTTTGCAGCCACGCATTCTCGAGGGCCTCCTTGGCAGATGGTCGCAGCATAGCATCGGCGGCTAGTAGAGCCTTCAAAAAGGTAAGAGCTTTCGAGCTGATAGCGAGTGGTAAGATGTTAGATGGTAAAATTGACGTCTGGACATAAGAGTACAAGGAGGGAAATGTCGGAAATGGATAGCTATAGCAAAGCATATAGCATACCATCACGCCCAACGACCATATATCGACACCATATACGAAATGAAGGCGACGAGTCTCAATTTGAGAAGGACTGAGTCTAGAGGGGTATATATGCTGCATCTCAGGCGCCATGAATCTTGGAGTGCCAACTTGAGTGTGATTTGCGGCATCCTCATTGAACCGTTTGCTGACACCAAAGTCACCGATCTTGACCCACCATTGAGGACCTGTTGACATGACGAATACATTCTAATACTATTTTATTAGTAAAAGCCATACCTATCAGCTGGGTATATAGGGGCAAAAGATTACCTTGGGTTTGAGGTCTCGATGGATAAAGTGGTTATCATGGAGATGTTGGAGACCGCGCAAGATTTGAAAAGAAATCTGTTGAACTTCTTTCTCGGGCAATGGGCCTTTCAAATTATCATGAAGATCGCCATTCTTGATGTGTTCCATAGCAATATAGAGGGAATGTTCATTTTCGAACCATCCAACAGACCTCACAAATAAACCGTCGTACTTTGTGAGTGAATAGATATTAGTCTCTATCACCTAAGAAAGGAGCAGCTCAACTTACCTTCATCTGCGAGAACTTTGCAATTGCATTTAGTTCCTGGTCGCAGTATTTTTGATGTAAAGGGTTTGGGTCCTTAGTGATGATTTTGACAGCACGTAGCTTGACTGTGTTTCCACTCACACATCGTTCGAGCCAAACCATCCCAAATGCTCCTCGGCCGAGCGTTTTGTCCTTTTTCCATATCTCTTTCTTATTGTATCTAGTTCCAGTACTGCTGTAATCTGGCTGATAGGAATAGTGGTGCGTGGAATCTGGATAAAACTTGGTGGGCAATTCCATGTCCCGCACAAGCTCACTTCTCGGCATGGTGAGACAACGGGGGCTTTACCCGGTCTTGAGTATAAACGGGGATCAAAATGGGCAAGCACTCCACATATCTTTCTCCGGTCAACTACCTCGCGAGCATAGGGATAATGTAGAGATTACCCCACAGCTCGGCCTACTCAGCTCTACATCACGTGCACAATATGATTTGACTCGTATTGTCGCATCCTTGATTCGTTATTTCATTGGTTCAAGCTTATCAGATCAAACCCATCCCCTTTAAAGTGAAGATAAAGCAAATAGGACAGAGTCATGTTTCCGTTCATGGACGATAGACCTCACTTTGCATTGCGTATTGCGTTGATTCCTAACTACAAATACACACCCCTCCGTCTAGCTTTTATAGCGTGAGCCTTCCGTTGACTGTCAATACATACTCGAGCACTGTTCTAACTTACTTTTTTTTCGTTGCCATCTGATCTACTACCCAAGTCTATGATAAGATTAATATCTGCAAGTCATACCAAGCCACACTCAATTAAGGATCTCCTGTGGCATCTCTTCTCAACCTTCCGACGGCTTAATTCTTGGCCAGCTTCAACTAGGCACATCGAGTATGGCAGCACAGGATATTCCCTTGAAACATTAGAATATCTAGCTATTGGAGGTTGCACTATATGAGTTCATATTTCCTCGATCCAGACGCGTAATTTGAGACTTGACGTATTGGAACTCGAGAATATATAAAATACGTTTGTGAGAACATAATTTACCAAGTGCTTTTGCGGCTTAATATTTAACCTTGCAGGGGGATCAGGGGATCTATGGATGGATGCCTGCAGCTATTATGTCATGACCCTATCGCCATTAAACTAACATGTGACTTAAGAGTATGGGTATGAAAGTGGGTAAACTAAATTGGAAACTTGCCATTACAACCTAATGGTTGTCATAGTGATCTTTTTTATTTTTTAGTAAACTTCGGGTTCATTAATTCGTTGTGGAGTGAAGTGAGGCTGTGGGGATATGAATATAATACAGATAGATCACAATGCAAAGGAAGATTCGGAGGTACTAGTCTTCTTACTACTATCATCCGCCCATTCTAGGCATCTAGGAGGGATTGATTCCTTGGGGAAGTCTACTCCGTATATTGATTACCATCATGTTAAATGCCAAAGAGACTCAATTAACTGCTGATTGGGTCATGCGGCGCCACATCAGGCTTCACAGTCATGCAACATTGTATGTGAGTCACGGGTATGAATGACATCAAGTCACATGTATTTTGTTTCTAGTGAATTTAGAAAAATATAGATATGTCTTGATATCTTAATATTCTCAGATTTTCCAATGTCCTCTTTGTACTTGATCTATCAGATCTATACGTAGTGATTGAACTTTCATAGTTCGCAGTTCTTTGGTTCCCCCGCAGTGGGTCCCGCTTCTCGTGTGTGCCTGACCGCTCTTGTCTTCGCTGTCACTTTCTCTTGACACGCGCCCAACCTCGAAGCCTGTGAGATGAAATGCTTTGATGCATCTGCTTGCATGCACTTCTCACTATCTCATACCCCGCATTCATGGCTTCGGCGGATATACAATGGGGTACATTGATCAATCCAGACAAGAGCCCAGCCCCACTGCTCGAACAGCTGTGCCTGGGGATCGCACAGTTGATGGTAAGTTCTAGACCCTACCTGTATTGAAGACCACACTGACACCTCCAAAGTCATCCTTTGATACTAATGGCACCACTGATATCACTCCCGAGCGACTTGCTACCTTTTACCGCAAAGTCGGCGGCAACTACGACCCTTTATTCCTCGAGACTAAGGGACAAGCCCTGTCATTCATCTACCAGTCACTAGGATGTTTCCACAGCCTCCAGCCCTCAGCAAACCCATATGAACCCCCATCGATCCCGTCCCTACTTCCGAATGGCTTCGTGCGGTGGCAGACAATACAACTGTTGATGGACCCAGATGAACACTCGGTGTATTTGCAAAATGCGGTCAACCTTTGGGATATTCCAGATGTAAATGGCGAGATCTTTCCGAAAACGATTCCTCGCGACGCATTCCCTTCCGAGCCCGACCCAGAGATGTTGGAATGGCATGAAGGCGTGAGTCGGCGATTGGAACAGGACTATTTAAAAAGACACACGAAGCGTGCTTCGCCACCAGACTTTGGGACATATCATTATCATTTCAGTGGCAAGGATCCTCTACCCGACGAAGATGATTACTTCTCACGTCCACGCCGGGCGGCGTCAAAGCGTTATAGTCATGCGGAACCCGATCGGCCCAGCAGTCATCGCCACCACCGCCGAAATTACAGCGGGGAATATCCCGCATTTTCTGCACGTAGACCTGGAACGAATCGACCAGGCTTTTCAACCCCGAGAGTTTCATCCCCTCCCCCATGGGGAGAGCGTCCAGCACGTTCAGGTGGACGAGACCAAGGTGGCCGGCACGGCCATCCACTAAGCCCAGGGACAGGTGAGGTTCCAGATGTCTCTGATGTGTCTTCAGATGAGGTTACACGCCGCCGCAAGGACCGTGCGAAACCCAATAAGCACTCGGAGCGGCGTCATCTATCACCACCTTCCAACAGTAGTGCCAGACGGCACTCCCACGAGGCCTACACCCGCAGGCCATTCCGAGATCTATCGCCGACAAGTCCTTCCCGACATCGCCGTGGGCATGAAAGCTACTCTTCACGATCTAGCAAATCCAACTCTGAGCCTTCGCCGAAGGTTCACCCGAGAGATTACTCTAGAGATCATCTGAGAGACAGGGATCCAAGAGATAGGGATCCGAGAGATTACCCAAAGGAGAATCCAAAAGACCGTTCTCGATCACGCACAGCAGGTGTCAAGTTCCGTGAATTTATATTTGGTGACCCGGCCCCTACGCCAGCTGCTCCAGAGCCACCTTTCTACAGGTCACCAACTCCTCCGCCACCAAGAGCGATGCCGAGACACCTAGGTACTTACGCCGCAGATGACATGAGAAGAGGAAGCTACAGTGGTGGCAGTACAGGTAATAGTCGACCCAGTAGCGGAGGAAGTGGGTCTGAACGTCCCCGATCATACAGCAGTGCCGGATTCCATCCCCGCACAACCGGATGGGCGAGCCCTCGGAACCCTGCCTCAAAGCGATACCCCCCGGCAACTGTACCTGAGGATGATGGATACATTCCCTCGCGGAGGGTCCCGATTTACGAATAATGCCCACGACTGATGCACGTTGATACACTTAACGAATTTCTTTCTACCATGTTTTCTCATTTTGAGCATACAAACGTTCACTCTCCTTTGGCCCCAACGATATATTTTATCACCACGCCTCAGACCATTAGCTTTGGCATCTTACCTCTATGACGACAGATCTAACATTACACTCTCGCTTTTGGCCGGCCTCTTGATTTGGCGTTTCATTTTTCTGGCTTTTTACGCTTCTTCGCAGCAATGATTCTCACGATTCGAATGAAATTCAAATGACAAGCCCAAATAATCAGGGCACACGAATTCAAGCTGAAAGGTGCATCGTGTAGATCCTATGATGGTTGAAACTAAGCGGCGTAACTGAGGGGTGATGAAGTCTTGCAACGCTGCGCTTTCAATGTGATATGAGCTCTACAATCTTCAGTTTTCATTCAGTGTTCAGTGTAGGGGTTTTATCAACGACAGAAACAGAACCCAATATCAATTCAATCATGAAGGTGGGCTCTTTGGAAAGTAAACCCGTAATCACGCAGCACAGCACAGATTTCTTCCTTCTCAACATTGGCCGTACTAGACGGCGGCATCCCCAGAAGCGTCATTTTCCTCTCATCGGCCGTATACTGCTCAATCGAAAAACCATCCTCCCCACCAAATATAGAAAGTGTACTTGCGTACGCAGGGCCACGGACCTTCAAGAACTCCAAATCCGGATTCGGGTTCCTGTCGCGGAAAAACGCACCAAATACATCATGAACAAGCTGTGAGTGAAGAATATCCCGATCATCGTAGTACGGTTTCACATCTTGCGTCTTGGCATTTAGGGTACCCCACGCTGGCAGGTTATCCGAGGTATGACAGGAAGCGTTGTATACACTATTCGGGTAGCAGATATCCGGCATGTTTGCCGTCTGTGCATGGCCATCTGTTATTTGGATTTCGTATAGTGAAGTGAAGGCGGAATTAGAGTTATCGAGAAGATATCCCTGTGGACAAGTCCATTCACTGTGCGTCAGGGTATCGGAAACAGCGTTGAGGACGGCACCGGTGTCCGAATCATTGACATTGTATGCACCCGAGGCGATGATATTCTGAGCAAGAGTCTCGCCGAATGTGGTATTGAGAATTGTAGCAAATGGGGCTTTTATCAAGCTGAGAGCACCCATGTAGAGGCTTGCTTCGTCCCGCACAGTGGTGAACATGGTTGGGACGTTGATAGGGAGGCTTTTATTTGCTAGGAGGGCGTGGAACTGGCCGTCGATCACACCCGATCCGGTATCATCTACCATTGGCATGAATGGCTCATCTGCACCGGCTGCTTGTGTGCTGTTGTAGAAGTAATTTGCGATGCTGGATGAGAAGGTCTTTGTGGCATTTTGGAACTCGGTTGAGTTATCGAGATACATTGAAGCCGGGACGGAACGAAGGCACTTGACGAGACTTTCTTCGGAATCATTACCCTCACAGCCAACTGCGTTTGAGACTTCTGGGGCGATGTATTTGGAGTAAAGATCATGAGGGAACCATGGGAGATCGAAATTTGCTGATTGCACCAACGCGCCGGAGAAGAGACCCTTTGCTGCAGTGCTAGAGAGCAGAGCTACGATACTTTGGCCTCCAGAGGACTGGCCAAAAACAGTGACTCGGGATGGATCGCCTCCTAAGGCAGAAATGTGTTCTTGAACCCATTTCAAAGCCATGATCTGATCTTGAATACCGTAATTTCCGGTTGTCAGGTTCCCCGTCGAGAGAAAGCCCAATGCTCCAAGGCGATAATTAAGCGTGACGACGATCACATCGCTGCGGCTGGCGAAGTTTCCCCCGTCATATTCAATCAGAGATGAAGCCCCGTTTGTGAACGCACCGCCATACATATAAACAGCCACGGGGCGGAGCACAGTGCTCTTTGTGTCATCGTGAGGGAGGAATGGGGTGAAGACGTTCAGGTAAAGACAGTTCTCGGACATTCCATCAATAGACACCTTGCTAAGAGGTGAGGGGGATTGAATGCATATATCCCCCATACTGGTCGCTTCGATGTTCTTCGCTCCTGTATAGTCTTGGGGCGGGGCAAGGCGCAAGTCCTCGACTGGGGGACTTGCAAAAGGCACGCCCAGGAAGCGGAAGGATCGTGCATCCCGATATCCGGTGAATGTATAATCATTGGACGTGACAGTTAGCTTCGTATTTTCTCTTGCGGCTGCGTCGAGATCGGTTGTTGCGGGTGGAGTTGAAGTACAGAGGGCCGGTAGCTTCTCTCTACATTGCTTCGGTATAATCTGGCGATGGGAGATCGAGAGAGCAAAGCAGTTCTTGTGGGAGTCCTGTTCTGTTGACAGCCACAGGTAATCGTCAGCTCCTAGCTCCTTCGTAAAGACGAGGTAATCTAGCTCATAGCCGAGCTCGGTTTGACTGTCATTTTGCCTCCAAGACCACGGAAAGAGCTTCTCGCCAATGGCGGTGCATTTTGCAGTCGCATCGGCATACCTCGAGGGTTCATGTGCTAAAACGGCCGAAGTGCCATTGTTCTGAGGGCCAAGGTTGTTGTAATGCAATATGCGAAGAGCACCAAGGGATGTAACAAGGGGGTGGCGTTCTTCGGCCAATACCTGGCCCAACAGCACAGACGACACCAACACCACCAGCTTGGACTTCATCTCTAAGTATATTCTCAAAGAGCTGGAGCCGGTGGATGAGTCTGTAAATAGAAACTTCTCTAAAATGGTGGTATAATTTGGCAGGGGGCAACATCACACACCGCATGCATTTATAGTTTTCCGGATTTGGCAATGCGCGTCATGCTCGGCATCGAGAGAAATGAACCGGATTACAGTGGTGAGCTGAGGATGTAAATGAAGCTTCAGTACTGGATACGTTTGAGAAATTATAATTGATTTTGCAGTTACAAGCCTTTACCTAAAGGTCATGGCTCTGAAAATCCCATCCTTGTACTGCCCGACAGTGTACTCCATGACTCGATGAAGGGTTTTCAAAAGAGACGTAGTATATTTCACACTTGTGATACGACCATCAAGGTCAGACAAAGGACCCCATATACGCTGTGGGACAATGAGTTAGTTAGCTGTTGTAACCAAGTCACCGAAGTATAATGCTTACTACTTCTTTCAAGACGCCAGACCCTCCAACTCCAATAGCAATATAGAATTTTCAGTCCTCTCTGACAGCAGTACAACCAAGAAGTGGAGGCAAGTCTTGCGTGGTTTTACGCAGTGCGAAAGCCCACATCAGAAATCCTGTCATCCATACCCCAATCTGGACTTGCACTTCTACCAAATTTCCATCCGCGGCTTTGATCTCAACACCAGGGCCCAGAACACTTTTCCCGGTATGTGGATGAGTCATATGGCTGAAAGATTTCCCGGAAGTATGGAGATCCGCCTGTTCATATTCAACTTCCCAATCGTTCACAGGAAGCCCGACAACAAAATCGATTTTGCGGGTATATGTATCGCGGACTGTATATCGAGGTTGGTACTGGGGGTCAATGGACTCAGTCTGGCTACTAGGAATTAGCAAGTGATAGAAACACACGGTGGCTTCATGAAACATACACACGTCTACACTCTAACGGTAGTTCTGCAATAGCGCCCTCGAATAGCGGCAGTGCTACCTTATTCACCCAAGAACCCCCACTACACAATTTAGTGGCAGATTGGCACGAAGGATTCGACACTTTCCGAGCCACATCGTGAATATCGCAGAACTCAGAATCCTGAGTTAGAGCTGCTAGCAATTGAGTCGCAGCGGCGCTTCTATGGTCGGCAGATTCATGGATGTAGGCCATGCGGGGGCTGGCAGCGGCTAGTTCAGCTTTCGCGCGTGATGGACTCGATAAACGTGCTCGCTCACTCTGGCTAGTCGTGGGGCTTGATAGAGCTAGAGAAATGATGTCGTCGGGTGTTCCAAAAGCGGGTTGGCAGGTCCTCTTGGAAGGATCTGTTTGCGATATCAGATTCTCGGCCTCGAGTAACGACCTCTTGCGTTTGTGCTGTGATTCTGGAATTGAAGGAGGGCTCGTTCGGTTGCCCGCCAGCTTTTCGAACTGACCGGTATTAGGTGGAGATTTAGGCACGCTCCTCGCAACTTCTTTATCCAAGACAAGATGGCGGGGGTTTGCTCAGAAGACATCAGGCCGAATCTAACACAACATGGTGTACTGCAAAGCCGACCATGCCTTTCACTGGGGCACCCACGTAAGAAGACAGTGTCCATTTTGCGATAAGCTAGTATAATATTAATGATGGAGCAATATATAATGTGATATAGTGTCAAAACAAAAACAAAATTGGACACTAGATCTCAGGAATTAAACCACATTTTAGCCGCCCGTACTGGTAGCTCATAATCAACATCCAAATAGTACCTCCAGGCGCTCACATTAACATGCAACGCCTTGCATTCCCAGTTAAATGCAACAGCGCCCACGCGAAAACGGTCGAGTGCCTGGAATGCATCGTACCCAGTCAAACCAGCAACAATCAGACACCCAATGCCTGCCAAACCTACACTACCGGCAAACCCGAAATCAAAGGTAGATGCTTTTTTCCTCCATTTTTCAGGACTCCCCCCTTTAACCATCGATGCGATCAACGGGAATGCACCGAGGGCACATATCATCACGATAGCAATAAGGGAAAGCGCACCAACTAGACACACGAGAGAAACGTAACCATCGATCCATTGGCCGGAATACTGGAAGACCCAATATTTGAAAAGTGGCTCGTTGGAGCAAATTTGCTCTGCTGAGCATGACGAAGTACCAGGTGCATCCTGAATCTGAGCCGCGAGACACTCATATGCAGGGTAGCCTGAGAATCTCTGCTTGCCCCATTTACCTATCAACACACAGAGATAAACTGAAGCTATCCACTGCAGAGTTGCTACTACATACAGTGTCCACCTTGCAGCTCGTGCCCTTCTAGGAAAGGGTCTGAGGACACACTCAAAGGGATGATAATGTATCATGTAGCAATATTTCCATAGCGATACCCAGCCTAGCATGGAAGGCATGGGGTATTGCGTTGGGAGCATGGCATATCTGACAAAACCAAAGCACCACCAGATAAACGAAGCGAGATCCCAGGCCATGATACCCCAAGTATCCCACTCTAACCCTGCGCAGAAGGCATCATCGTCGTTGTACCGGGCTTTCTGGATCTTGTGGAGTTGCCAAAATGACGTGACGAAAGTGATGGAAGCCTTAATCCATACTTCAAGGCTCGTCGCCCAGAATGCCGATGAATATGGCTTAGATGGTACCACCTTGAAGTCATTGAAACAGCTTATTATCTCGCACCAGCTGTAGATGGTTCCATTCCCATTCGAATCGTTCGGGATTGACAAAGACGGCTTGTTCAAGCCCACAACGTTGCTCTGATGTTGTAAAGAGGCTCTGACAGCGGAGCAATTATATGTGATGGCAGACACAGACGTGTTGTAACAGTCCTTGAACATAGTATTCTTGTACAACGCGTATTCCGAGCTTTTGGGATCGAATCCAGTGTTGTCCGTTCTTACTGCGAACAAGACCATGACGACAATCCCGAGCACTAAAAGACATGCTAGGATCACCAGGCCGGTCCATATTGAGCATGTTATCATGCGTCGCGTGTGCTTCCTGCTAGACCGCGGAGGAAATTGTGGGAATTTGCAGTCGGTATTGTCGACTTGTAAGTATTAGCATTGGCTACATCTACAGCCGTGAGAACGCAAAGGGCAGGCATATACACACAATCATATCGAGGCTCGTTCCTCTCCACGGTAATATAATCAAAACCATAAGAGTTTGTTGTTGATCGGGGGATGTGCCTCGGCATATTGATGAAAGATATCCAGTATTCAGACCCAAAAAGTGGGGGCCAATCTGCTGTACACAAGATTAGCTATGCCCAGTATAGATGGAACGGAGATGGAATCTCAATGAGAGAGGCCAATATAGTTATAACGACAGGGCTGTCTTTCCTTAAAAATATTCTAGAGCTAATCCCCACCTAATGAGCGGGAGGCTGGCCGAGCCTTTCTGTGGCCCAGTCTTGCGCCTCCACAACATTAATCGGGCTCTAATTTATCCTTAGGCACTGTGCCTAGGTTGATGTTAAATATAGTCATGCCAAGAGTGGCGGATATTCTAACGTGATAGAGCGCTGGCTGTGGCACATGGCTAGTGGCAGCCACAGTGTTTACCGGCTGCCGCGCATGGGCTGAACAATTCGTATGATAGAACAAACACGATCAATGACCAACTTACTCTAGGGTAATGTATAGGGTTACTATTGCACTAAAAGGCTCCAGGGCGAAGACTGTCTACCACAGGCAATTCTATGGAGTGTAGCTATATTAATTATGTACCTATGATCCTCTTGAAAGCTGACATCTAGAATCACCAGGCACATATTTAGCCTCGAAATTGAGAGCCCAGTTTTGATTAATAATTTGATAGGCGAATCATTTCCCCCGTTGCTGCAATGGAGTTCGTATACACAAGCCCTATTCTGTACAGGGCCTAGTAGTCAGCCTTGTTCTGGGGTGTGTTGTTGGGAAGTGTGATAGATGCGGCCATGTGCAGATGCCAAGAAGCCGAAGAGCCAAGGTAACCCAATCACATTTGACCGGTGTTCAGCTAGAACCCGGTCGGCGAGTCAGTCGCGCGATGTGGATGGGCCATCTACGAATAAGATGTGCGGTTGAACCCAAGAAAGGAGGCTAGGGAGTTTTATACTTTGTTACTCGACCCCATCTTCCAGGCTTAACTCTCTTCGAAATCCCAGCCTCCTTACTCCGTAAACCCACTCCGGAGTATTGCGGTAACTTAGTTAAGAGCCCCATTACTAGTTGATATTTTTCTTTCTGGGTTTCTAAATTAACCATGTGAATTATATAGCTGTTTTGTTTCTATTCGTGAAAGGCTTGCTGGCATATGACTCGACGGCTTTCGTTAGTTGGCAGCTTGAAGGGAACGGCCGCTCCACATGGTTTAAACTTAGTTTTCAGGTTCCTTACAATAAAAAGTGCAGAGCAAGATATCAGTCTCATGGGTCCACTGTTAACGGATCTAAGTTGTTGTAGTACTATATACAGTCCTAGCTATTACCATGGTTGCCCTGGCATATTCATCGCCGTCCCACCGTCAGATGGTCTGTCTAATGCGTTGAAGTTCGGTCCGAATTGCTGACCTTGCTGGTTGGACGAAGTCCACATTCCAAAGGAACCTGTCGCGAGAAAACGATCGGCTATAGCCTAGTCAGATCAGGTAAGAGACAAGGATCGACTGGAGACTCACGCTCGAATAAACTCATATAATCTGGTAGTAGCAGTCCTTCGTCCAGGGGTTGACCGGCAAAATTGGCAGAATTTTCGAGGAAGGTGTTCGTTTGATCATTGCCTTGTAAATCGCGGGAGACATCTTGCCTGAAACCGAGGTTGGACTTGCCACTATCGCCGGCTTTTGCGAGGACGAAACTAACTGTTTCGGCGGCTTTTGTTGCTTCCTTGGAAGTGGGACTCTTTCGCATCCAAATGGACCTGCAGATTTGAAGGGATGCCCGAATTTCTTGCTCGCGCTGTAATGCTTTCCCCCGATACAGAATGGAACATAGTACCATAGTAGCGGTGAGGAATTGATGGTTCATAATGGAAGTCACGCGGAACCTCATGGTATGAAGTTGGCCGCCCGGGCATGTTTCCTCATCAAGCATGTGTTGGATATTCAGCATGCCCAGCGAAGCATCCAAGCAGACTTTTCGCGAGTAGCCCATTGGATCATCGTCTGGATTAGTCGGACTTGTATATAGAAACCTGCGATGAAGAGCAATCTGGCCTTTATAGACCATATGACCCAAGAATAATCGCGACATGATGACCTGTGGAGAGTCCGTCACACTCGTCGCCAAGGGCTTCATCTGCAAAAGGGGCGGAATACTGACTATGGCCTCTTGCAGTATGCCGTCGACATGCATCACATCTGCATAACTATATGGCTTAACCGCGTCTGTGAGGTCGGCCACTGTGCCCAGTGCTGCCAAGATACGTCGTCGAGCGATCAGTCCGAGGGAATTAGTGTATTCGGTCAATGGACGCGACGGAGGAAGGTCTTTTGACTGTTCGTCGAAGTCCGTGTCATTCAAATTTCGCGGTTCGGCTGTATCCCATTTCGAGTCGGATATCATGCGTGGCATGCCCATTTGATTCGACACGAGTGTGTCCCCCATCAAGACCGTCGCCCACAGATGGCGACGCATCTCTCCCTGAAAGGGAGAAATTCCAGGGAAATGACTGGAATCGTGGTGGTAGCCCATCTGCATGGCCAAATTTATTTCCAAGGCCAGCAAATACCACGTATCTTGATCAGCGTCTGTACGAAGGCAAAATTCGACGTAGACGTAGTTGATCACCGTTTGAAGGACATATGGCCCTGATCTAGTATATTCGCCTAACACTAGGCATTGGACAATCTTTTCTCGATAGAGCTCAATCTGAAGTGATAGATGTTCCACTTCGGCGTCGAACGTATCCGTAGTCAAACAGGCAAGGCAGACCATGCTGAACAGAAGACCGATCCACATGATTGGAACGCTAGATGGATTCGCCCAAAATGCCTCATACTACTTTCGTCAGCGAAAATGTTCAATTCTCGCGATGAAGAAAACCTGCCTCTCTTAGAAAGCTTGGACCATGAACAGCTGCTGTAAGTATAGTTAATACCAGATATACAGACCCCATTAGAACACAAAGGGGAGTACAAACACGCAGAAACTAGATCTAGACAATTTAAAGAATCGAGATATGTAGCGATCAACGGCGGCCTTAGGGGGCAATGCTGCCAATATTTCGCCACGAGAAGCGATCTTGCGGCACCCGTATAGGAGTAGCGCATACCCAGATCGTAGCCGGGACGGGTCATGTGCAAGGTCGTCTGGCAGTTGGTCTGGGGTATTAGCTAGTCGTAATTGCTCATCGCGATCAAAATGGTCCTTTCAATCCGCGATTCCATCGAGAATCGCAGCCCAGTGATCACCGCCTACATACCGTAGCTCAGACTCGCTGATACGCATGCTGCCACATTCCGAATGGCCATCTATCGGCGCTTCCATGACAGTATCCATGGTAAGGGTCCCCTGGGAAATCGAGCGGGCAGAGTCTGGCACAGGCACGGGGACAGGCTGGCCTTTATTCGCCGAGTCGCTCATCAGCGAGACGACCAGTCGTTCTAGCTGTACCAGTCGGTCGTGGACCCCTGGGGGCGCAGCCGCGGACTGAGGCTTTGAAATACCAGTGCAACCCGATGTATCGGCATATGTGCAGATTTGTCCTCGAGAAGAACAGCACGAGCAAGGGTTTTGACGATCACATCGCGATCTGCACAGCAAAAAGAGAACAGATCGACCTGTGAGTGCTGGCCACGGACAGGTTCATGGAATGAGATTCTTCTTACTTACGGCGCCGGCACGGGTTACATGACAGTTGCGGCTTGTCCCTTTGCCGACTTGGTTTAGGTCTAGGATGTGATATAGAATCAGCCTCGGGAAGCGCTGGCTCTGGTTCCATTGGAAGTGTTGGATTGGTGCTTGACATCGCAACAATCCCCGAGCGGCTCTATGATACTGTCGGATGCTCTCTCCAGGTTCAATATACTCCACTTTCGTGGCCGGCGGTCACGATCAGGCAACTTCAATAGCCCAAGCCAACTTTATCAAACACGAAGCTTGTCTCAAAAGGAAAACCGAACAAAGTCCAGGAAGTCAGCTGATCTCCGACCCTCCGACCCTCCGATCGCCCGGTCCGGTCCGTGCGTCTGATATCTATAGATGTGGATCCACGACGGCATCTCTCTCGATATGTGTTTACATTTCGGGCTAGCTCTCTGTCTCTTCAATTTTGAATCCTCTGCTAGCATCGGAGCACCATGACGGGACCTGACAAGCCAGCACATGCGTCTTTCTGTTATGTTGAAGCTGCGTTGTCAGCCACTAATTCCTATTTCCGTGATCCATGTGAAAGAAAGCCCTTAGGGGAAATCAATTCCTCCGTTCAAAATGAATTTAAATAGCAGAGCAACGCTGGGGAGGCTGACAGAGAGCATTTTACTTTGCCATTATTCCACACCTTGCCATAAGGATGTCTTCCTCCGCAAGCTCCACCAACTTCGCCCCAAGCCAACTGGAGGCTGGCCTAGAAAAGAAGGCCGCCTCTAGGATCGTGGACTGGGACGGACCCGAGGACCGTGAGAATCCTCAAAACTGGTCACCGCGCAAAAGATGGGGGCACGTTGTTATAATCTCGATGGATATTGGCGTTGATTACGTATGTTTTAGTACTCCTGATTACTTCCTCGTTGATCGAAGCGACCACATGTCGTACTTTTGTCCCCTTGTCTCTTATTCCCTGTATACATCAGCTCTTACTTGCCTTTTGTGAAAATTGCTTACATATTCTTGAAAGCAACATGGCTCCCACAATGTGCGCACCTGGGGCGAAGGATATCGCCGCCGATCTCCACATCACCTCTACAGTTGTCAGCACGCTCACTGTAACAATCTATGTTCTCGGTATTGCAATTGTCCCCATGTTCATGTCACCATTGAGTGAGATGTATGGTCGGGTGCCCGTTTACCACACTGCCATGGCCATATTTGTCACCTTCATCATCGGTAATGCTTTGAGCAAGACCACCGCCCAATTCATGATCTTTCGATTTATCTCGGGATGTGCAGGCGGCACTCTGATGGCATTGGGTGGGGGAACCATTGCAGACCTTACCAGCGTGCAGCAACGCGCGGTAGCGATGGCATTGTTTAGTATGGGTCCACTTGCTGGGCCAGTGAGTGTTATCCTCCGTGTGCCAAGCCCAGAACAAAACTGATTTTGCTTATTCAGGTGCTCGGTCCCGTCATTGGGGGCTTTGTAGCGGCCGGTAAGAGCTGGCGTTGGACATTTTGGCTCCTTGCCATTCTTGGCGGATTTTTTGGGTTCACTGCTGTGCTTGTTCTGCGCGAAACAAACCCAAAGTTCTACTAGAGAGGAAGGCCGCTTCTCTGCGGGCTAGTACGGGGAATCTCAATTGGCGCTCGAAATTGGACAGCACCTTATCGCCCCGCCAAGTCCTCCTGCAGGTCCTGGTCTGCCCGGTAATGCTCCTTGTGCGGTCGCCCATTCTCTTCGTGATATCCCTTTACGTAGCCCTGGTGTTTGGTGTGACGTATCTGCTCTTCACCACATTCATCAGTGTATTCGAGGGCCAATATGGATTCTCAACCTCCATTTCGGGGCTCACATATCTCGGACTCGGTGTGGCGCTAGTGATTAGCATGGTGCTTTTCAACTTGCTGAACGGTCACGTTAAGGCCGCACGCATGAAAGCTGATGGCGTGCAGCAACCCCGGCCTGAGTATCGTCTTCTTCTCATGGTCTAGTTTAGTCCGTTCGTGGCTGGAGGCTTGTTCCTCTATGGCTGGACGGCATACTACAAAATCCATTGGTCTGTTCCCATTCTTGGTACAAGCTTGATGGGCTTTGGTGCTTTCTTCGTAATTGTAAGCTTTCCCCACTCTATCGTCATAGCCTCGATTTTGTTTACGAATATGTTTCAATGTAGACACCTTCACAACTGTACCTGATCGATGTCTTCGGGTCCGAGGCCGCGGCATCAGCCTTAGGAGCCAACAATCTACTGCGGTACATTTCCAGCACATTCTTGCCCCTTGCCGGGCCCGCAATGTACAGCAGTCTGAACTATGGGTGGGGGAATTCCTTGTTGGGGTTCATAGCGTTGGCATTCGTTCCAGCGCCTGTCCTCTTTTACAAGTACGGAGAGCAGCTCCGTACACACGCGAGCGCGTAGACTAAATTAACTTGCCAGATTCCAACCGATGTGATTGCCTTCGCCTCGAGGATAACAATAATACCATTTAGTATTTGCTTTGAGATTACGTTCAGCAACAAGTGAAAATGCCCCCCCTGGAGTAATCAACTGGCCAGTTAATTAATTAGAGTAGATTGAATGATCAAGTTAGACCCAAGGCTCACAGTGTAGCCATATGCAACCTGCAAGTCGATCCTGGTCCATATCCGCCAGTAAGAGTGGCCACATGCCATATCTGCGGTAATCTTACTCTACTTGGACGAGATTCTGATCGATCCAAATGATGCCACAAAGAGCCGAGAAGTTTCAATTGGTACACTTTGCTTCGCAAACATTATTCTGGATATAAAACCGTACAGTTTCCAAACTTAGACATATATACCCTCATCTGGCCTAGTTCCAGTGCTTTCCAAAGAATTCCAACACAGTCTTGTAACCCCGAATGTACTCTTCCTGTACCCGGGGATTAGACAGATCAGCACGGGCAGCCATCCAGCCATGGACTTGATCCCCAAAAGTCTCCACATGATGAGGCACTGTCAACTTGTTTTCAAATTGCTTGACATCTTCAGTAGGATCTTCCCCCGACGCCAATAGGATGTACGGCACAGCGATCTTCTCCGCCCCAGATGGATCAACCATGGCCGGGTGGCAGGCGGCAGCAATCTTGAATGGGTTGTCCTCGCCAGACGTCACAATTTCAGCAACCTTACCACCCCAGCAGTACTATTCTAATCAGTATTGAGAAGCTGACATAGTGTAAAAGAGAGCCGACTCACTCCGATGAGCCCCCAGGAGGTAATAGATGGATTTGCAGCCTTAAGGGCGGCAATATAAACAGGCAAAGCAGCCGCAGGACCCTGTGGCATATTTTTACCAAACCACTCACCTAAGTTCTTCTGCTTTTCTTCGGTGTTAGGGGGGTACCTAATTCCGGCTTGGTTAGCGGTTGCTCCCTTAAGTGGGGCAGCACGTTATACCATTCAGCGGGGCATGGGCTGCCGTTGAACCAGTCAGGCATGAAGACTTTGTATTTCTGGTGGTGATCGCTGGCTGACAGGATATCAGCGCCTTGGAGAGTCTGATCAAAGTAGCCGAAAATATCGAAAACAGCAACAATTCCTTTGGTAGCTTCCTCTGGGCCTGTCACATCTACATAGGCCTTTTGTTAGCCCGAGTCATAGCAAAACTTGAGGAGTGCCGTTGGCATTTACAGGTTTTCATTCCGCCAAGCTCCTCATATGAGCCTTTGGGGACATAGCCTTCCGAGACAACAGGTGGGATGTTGCAGCAGGCCTGGCTGTGGCCATGAGTTGCCTGCATTGTAGACATGGGTGCGAGTTGAAGTCGACTCGGAGGTAAAGGGTTGTTTCGGGAGGAACAGCCAAAAGCACCGGATGAACATGCTGGGCGATATGTCGGCCTTATGCACGTCTGTGATGCGATGACATTCCCTCGCGAGCTGGTCAAACTAGTTCTCGGCGTGTTCAAGGGCGCGACCGAAGCGCGGTGGGGGAATCGAAGTGGGGGAACCATTTCATCGGAATATACCAGGATATGAAAGATAGAATGGCGACTTCTGATTGAATGGAATATTCAGTTAATTTATATCATTTTCCGGATGAGGCAACGGAGGAGTCGGAGGAAACGGAGGATCGGAGAGCCATAACCCAGCCCATGATATCGTAGCGCCTGTGGGGCCGCTCGGGGGCCGATCCTCTGGCCGCAACGTTAAGAATTACTTGGCACCGGCATGTACACTAAGCTTTGCAGCTGACCGGCCCCCATTCTCATGCCAGGTGGCATCTGTCATTTCAAGATTTGAACAGAGATATTTTCCCATAAACTGCCTGGAACCTACATAAACAGGCCTATACAGTGACATTCCATAACGCACACCGGTAATTCGTCAAATCCGCAATATGGATCTTTTTCACTCGTCAGGGTTTGCGTCGGATGTGACAGAGTTGATGAAGCAGCAGCATGTCCCGGGGCTAGCGATTGCAATCATACACAATGATCAAATTGCCTCTGCGGGGTATGGACATGCGAGCCTGGATCCCGAAATACCTTGCACAGCAGATACGATGTTTGACATTGCATCGTCTGCGAAATCACTCACTGCTGCAGCGGTGGGATTGCTAGTCGACGATAATGACATGTTCCCGGATATTCAGTACGATGCCGTGATGTCGACTCTTCTCCCCGAAGACTTTGTTATGTCTGGAGAAGGATATACAGAAGGAGTCACCGTGGAAGACATCTTAAGTCATAGAAGTGGGATGCCTAGGTGAACTAATATTTTTCAACTTCCATGTTTGAGTTCACGACTAATGACATTGCGCCAGCCATGACGATTCGTATATGAGTGTGCGAGCGGCGAAGCCAGACAATGCTCAGTCCATTACAAGAAACCTCAGGAATCTCCCTGTCGCTGCTCCCATTCGATCAAGATATATTTACTGCAACATGATGTATACAGTGGCAACCCATCTTGTGGAAGTCAAGAGCGGACAGGATTTTGGTACATTCCTCGAAGAGCGATTTTTCAAGCCTCTGGCCATGGCATCAACTACTCTTCAACCCAGCAGCGCACGATTAAAAGGATTCGAATCCCGCATGGCAACTGGCTACACATGGAAAAAAGCCGACTCAACATATTGTGGGTTAGAAAGTCCAGACTACCCAGAAGGCCAAGGCGCAGGGTCTATCATTTCGAGCGTGAACGACTTCATTAAATTTGTCAAGGCTTTTATCAATCGCGAGGAACCTATCAATAGAAATGTCTATGAAGGGCTCACTCGTCTGCGAACTTTTGTGAATCCAAACCCAGGAAGACGGAAGCGGTACACCTCACCGGTAGCATATGCTGCTGGCCTGGATATCTATTTTTACAAAGGACATATGGTTGTCGGCCATAATGGGGTATTCTCTGGATTCGGAAGTCGCTTCTTCTTTCTCCCTGATTTCTCATTCGGTGCTGTGATTATGGGAAACTCAGATGGGGTAAATGGCGTTGCGACGGCCCTTGTCCAAAAGCTAATTGGCAATCTCCATGGAGTCACGGACGAAGGATCTTATGACAGCAAAAGCAAAGCCACACGACCTGTTGAAATTCGCGGTCCAAACCCCCAGGCCCAGGCGAAGGATGCAAATCCTGTGAGTAAGAACCAGGAAAAGAAGGAGAAGAAGAAACAGGAAAAGAAAACCCAAGCGAAGAAAAGTCAAGGTATCCAGAAGGGCCAAGTGAATGAACAAAGACCAAAAGGGAATACCCCGCAGCCACCGACAATGCCTCTCAGTGCTTACGCTGGCAACTACTGGAATCCTGGGTATCATAATTTACTGGTCCAAATCAGAGATGATGCGCTCTTCATCGATGCTACGGATCGCTCAATGGGGTTTACCTTGAAATTCGAACATTTGTCCGATGACCGAAAATTCGAGGCTCATCTTGCTGATTGGCTCGATGGCAGTGATGACATCTTAAAAGCGGAGTTTGTAATAGAAGATGCTCAAGTCACAAGTTTGGGTCTGCAGTTGGAGAAAATGCTGAAGGAAATGATCTGGTTCGAGAAGAAGGTTGAAGTTCTTTCCTGACAGTATTCCTCCTGATAGAGCTGGATACATTTACAAGAGGATATGTTGCAAAGTGAAGGAAACAAAAATAACAAATATTTTACCAATTGGCCTGTATTAAAACTCTCCGAAGTAGTCGTTCAGCTTGAAGTTATCATGTGGTATGTAGTGGTATACAGACAACCTGGAGATGGATCTTTCCAGTAAAATTCATGTACTCAAAAAGAGTTTGGTTAACATTTCAATCTATAGTACTAGTAGATCTGTAGGCATTTGACAATAAACTATGAGCAATGAACATAGGTGATTGAAATTTCAAAATCACCATATTTATGATGATGCTCTAGAATGCCTGCCTCTTTCATAGCAGTGTTCTACTATACCCACCGAGTATCAGTAAAAGAGACAACTGCGTTAATACGATTTCCTTTTTTGAAGCAGATTTTGTATGATAGTAGATACATCTCATCCCTCACGAGACAACTGCCAGTCTGCTTCGAACAGGCTTGTTCTCTTCCATTCCAGGTTCTGGGAACCCAGACACATGAACACCCCTCCGGAAAAGAAGACAATGTGTTGAACCACCGAAGTGGAACATACCAAGTTCATCTCCTTTCTCCAATCTATCCCCCTCCTTGACAGTGATATCACAAGTAGACACCTCTGCCATACCAACTCCGATAAACGCCACCAACCCAATGGCTGGATCATCGGCCTCAATGAAAATAAGTGCCCGTGTCGCACTTGAAGTAATATATCCCTGCGAAGTGACTTGACCCGCCATATCAATATCCTTTTGCTCGGCCTCCGGGTTTCCAACACCTTCAAACAGAGGCTCAGAATAGTAAGTACCGTCAACAACATAAGCCTTCACGACCTTGCCACTAACAGGCGAATGCCAACGGTGATAGCTCAAGGCACTAAGGAACGCCTGGTAGACAGTGCCGCCAACAAACTGCGACGCAAGAGCAT